AGGAACAGAGTGGTTTGGAAAGCTGAAGTCCATCACAGCAGTGGAGACTCCCCCAGGGATGTAAAGGGATGATGTTTCCCCTCTCCAGCTGTCAGGGACTGGTTCATCCTCTTTGCTCAGGTCTGACTGCCACAAAGTCTCCTGAACCACCTAAAGTGAAACTCCACTGCTGGGACAGTCACAGGGATATGTAATTGTGGCTGAGGGAACAGCAATCAGCACCTTCTCCTCCCTCACAGCAGCACAGAGGAGGGTGCAAGCTGCAGCCCTGAAACCCAAGGTGTCCTTGGAGCAAGAGCCCCAAATCCCCACCCCATCCCCAGGACTCTCAGCCCAGAGGACTTTGTCTCTTCCCAGTTCTCCTGGAGCGCGATGCCCTCTCCCGGGAGCCTGAGGAAGAGGCTGGAGAAGCGTTTCCCAGCCGGAGTGATGTTAACCTGGGCACGGATCCCATCAGGCACACAGTGCCTTGGGGCTGGAAGGGAGGAACAGAGGTTTACAACTGCTGCCCTCACCTCCTCGAGCTGCCACCACTGCCCTGCAGCCTGCAGAGGATGCTGGACGGAAAGCAAGAGAAGCTGAAGGATCACAAAAACGCTTTGGAAGCTGTGAGGAAACGATGGAAGGTGATAGGAAATGAACAACGGATCCCATCAGGCACACAGTGCCTTGGGGCTGGAAGGGAGGAACAGAGGTTTACAACTGCTGCCCTCACCTCCTCGAGCTGCCACCACTGCCCTGCAGCCTGCAGAGGATGCTGGACGGAAAGCAAGAGAAGCTGAAGGATCACAAAAACGCTTTGGAAGCTGTGAGGAAACGATGGAAGGTGATAGGAAATGAACACGTTGTCTGTGTGTCCTCCTTTTTCCTCGGATGCCTCAGCCAACACAGTTCCTTCACACAGGCACAGCTCAGTTTCCACGTGGTTCCTCCTCCTGTCCTCTCACCTCCTGTGCAGTCTCTGTGTCCTCTGCCCTCTCACTGGATATACCTGCCTGAAAAACTACAAACTCCCTAATGCTACAGCTACAGCCTTCCTGCCCCTCTCCCAGCCAGCATGTGCCACCCTGGAGAGAGGATGGGCACAGCTACAACTGGGGAGGCTGTAAGAGAGAGGAAGATGAGCTCAGGTGGGAAAAGACAACAACAGCAGGGACAGGCAGATCCTGGAGAAGCAGAGAGCCCTTCCCCTTGCCAACATCCCTAGTGAAGAGGCAGAGAGAAAATAATGGATATTTATAAGCAAACCTGTCTCTAAGGCAGCAGTTTCCAAAGTCTAATAATAGGGTTTGGACGTGTTTATGGTGTGATTCAGACAGCATTGCATAAAGCTGCTTGGAAAGCTCCTGTCTGTCCCAAGAGTATATTCCCCAAAAGCTGTGAAGGTAAGAAGCCAAGAAACCTGCAAACTGCACTTCTTGCTCTGACCCTGTGGCTTCTCACACCTGCAGCACACAGAGCCCAGGAGCCCATGGGACAATGCTCTGGGAAAGGCAGACAAGGACTGCACCTGCCTCAGAGGCTGTGCAGAGGTGCAAGGGATGCCAAGGATGTGGAAAGTCACCTGTCCCCAACATCAAGGTGAAACCCCAAGTCTGCAGATTGCCACTGCCATGCCTTGGCCACTGGGCTGGGCTCAAACCAGCCCTGGCAGGATGGGCAACACCACAACCCCCACAGGCAGTGGCCCTGCTCTTGCTTGGTGCTGACTCAGATGAGTGTGTTGAAAGTGCAGCTTCCCCAGCCAAGCTGGAAGGCAGCATTAAAAACAGGAAAGGTCAAAACAGCCTCATCTCTGTCCAAGGAAGAAAACAGGGCTGGGCTGGGTTGGGCAGCACCTGGACAGCATGTTCTGAGGCCGAGGAATTGCAGTGATCAGCTCTCCACCCTGCTCTTCTCTGACAGCCTGTCCAACAGCCCATTCCAACACAGGACACCTCCCAGAGAGCTCCTCTCTGCTCCCTCCAGGCAGAACAAGTGCTACAACCACGTCACACAGACTAGGAGACACCAGAGAAGGCCAGAGCAGCCAGCAAGGATGAGGTGAGGAATACTGTAAGCCTTGTACATTCCCCAGCCAACTGCAGGTGTCTTGTCCCATGTCTCACTTCATGCCAACACCTGATCTAGCCACAGGCAGGGCCACGAGGCTCTGCCCAAAACCAGCTTCCCAGTGTGCCAGGGCAGACACCAGCAGCTCTGCAGAAAGCATCTCCATAGCTTCTTTTCCAGAATCAGCCAGAGTAAGGTGAAGAGTCCTTGCCCTACAGACAGAAAGGAGCCAGAGGTGAATTGCCTACACAGTCCTGATGTCCCAACAGGTTTGGTCACAACACTCCTGAGGCTGCTCCAGGCAGGGGAATCCAGCAGAGGCAGAGCAGCAATGTGTGGTTTGACCCTTCACCCACAAGCTCACAAACCACAAGACTTTATTTTTTAATGGAGTTTACAAATTCCTGCCCCAAACCTGCCTCCTCACACCAGATCTCACATTGGCTTTACTTAGGGTCAGAGCAAAGAGAAAATACAAGAAGAATGGGAAGCCCCTTCTCATTATTGATGGTTTTTTGCTTCACCTCAGCACTGCACAGAGGGCAACAGTCCTGCCCTGTCAATGGCCAAAACATGAGTGGAGCCTGAGCACCTCCTATCAGAAACCTCAGCTATGGCTTAGTCACGAGAGAAACACCATCAGCAGCAATTTCAGCTCCTCCTTCCCAGTGGTCTGAGCTGGGATTGATGGATGTGCCACGTTCTGGCTGCCCAACAGCACAACCCATGACAGCAATTAGCAGGGACTGAAGGAAGAGAGGCCTTGGCTCCTCCACCTCCTGCCAGGAAGGCTGTTCTGTGCCAAAGGCACTGGATGAGGCACAACTTGTAGGCAAACTCCACGTGTGACCTTAAATGAGCTGTTGTGTCCTTGGTTTGCAGCTCCAGGATGCAAAGCTGTCCACTACCTGCACCTGTGTTTACTCCCAGGAGCCAAACACTTGCTGTATTCCTCTGGAAAACAGGGATAACTCCTACTTATTGCCAAGTTATCAGTTCCCCACCACCACTCCAAAACAGGAATCAGGAAGGTCATTTCAAATGGGTATTTACTGCACTGTCTTTTCACATTAAACATGTGGTTATGGGCTGTGACATCATGGACCAGTGACACAAGCAGCACCAGAGAGAGGTGCAACTGATTCTTTAACTGCATTCATTTCTTTATTTGATTTAAGGTCAAGGATTGGTGAGGGAAGAGGCAACAAGCAGGGCAAGAGTTTTGGTTTGGATTTCCTGGCACTGTAGAGTCCTGTGTAAACTTTGATGAGGGGAAATGCTATGGACACAGACACTATAACACATGTCACTGTGACTGACCTTCCAGGCCAGCTCACCCAACTCACCCAACTCACCCAAGGCTGAAAACCTTAAAGCTCCACATCTGACACTTCAGAGTGGTGATACCTGCACAGGGTGAGATCCATCTGAGACACCACACATAGCTCCCTAAGCCTTCAAAGTCTGAACGTAGAGTCTCAGCGTCAAACTGCTCCTCCACCCAGGGGGTGCAGTGGGAGAGAGCTGCATTCTGCAGGGTGTAACCATCCAGACAACCAAGCAGCACTGCTTGCTCTTGCCATGATTGTAGACTTGTTTCCAGGAGAGCACAATGCCATTAAAAATCTCCTTAATGCAGTGCAGGGGATGCAGAACCTCTCCCTGCACTTCTGAAGTTGTTCTTATGGTTCAACCTCATCCAGCTCCTCCTGCTTTGTCCCAGCTATGGATCACAGCCTTCCCTTCCCACCCTGCTCAGCTCTTAACCTCCATGAGACGTGCCCAGCACTGCATTCTGCACCTGCACCCACACACGTGTCCTGTGTGGATCCCAACAGCTTCCAGACTGAATCTGCTCCCTGATCCACCTCCTCTGGCACTGCCCAGCCCAATCCAACCACAGGCACAGCAGGGCATGCAGCTTGTGCAGAACATTTTCTCTGCCCCATCCCCTGCCATCCCACAGAGTTCCAGGGATGGGAGTGAAAACCACTCCCTTCCCCTAGCTGTGACACTGCATATTTAAAACTGGAGGTGGACGAAGTCCAGCACTGCTCTGCAGCACATGGGACCAGTGCAACACACACTGGCTATTCTGGGAAGCAGAACTGCAAAAAACTTACATCAATCCTTCTCCTCTCTGGGTGTTTCCAGAGAGCTGAAGATGCTGTAGTCTAGAATTCAAAGGAGGTTACAGGAGTCTGGAAAAAAGGATTAGAAACAGCAAACAAACCATTGGTTTCATAGTAACACAAACACTTTGATCCCATTAAAACAGGTAATTGTCTCAACTCCTGAGTTTGGGGGTTTTCCTCCCAAAAGCACAGGTTTATCCTTGTGTCTCCTGGACAGAGCAGCTTCAGACTGTTTGTCTGTGGTGTGATACTTCACTGCTTGTGATTCAGTAATTTCAGTGAATTGTCTAGCAGGTCTTTGCCTCTTCTCCCCTTCCTTTTTCTTTAAAAAAAAAAATCAACTCCTAAACATTTTTACCTGAAAGAAAACCCTACGAGAAGGAAAGCACTACTGGAGCAGATGAGGATGGGGGAGTAGGAGAGAGAGAGAGAGAGAAGCTGAGCTGGATTTTCCCAGAGTCAGATTGCACCTGGAACAGAACCTCATCCCATCATTCCTTTTTCACTCTCCATTCCTCTCTTCTCTGGTGCAACAGATCCCAAGGCAGGGAGCAGCAGGGGGAATCTGTTCAGAAGTGGCTTCTGGGTTTCCAAATTCACCAACATGTTCTGTGTAGGCAGAGCAGAGACCTGACACTGAGAACTGAGAGCAGATGATGCTCCCTCCTTGCAGCTGGAGCAAAACCACCTCATGGCAAGTCTTTATTAGTGAGTCTTACAAGCACAATCTCTCAAAGAGGGAACTGACAATGGCTTGGGCAGCTGTCTAGCAGTGTCAGCAGACGCTTTGGGTATCCTTGGCCAGGTGTGTTGCTACCCTCCCAGTTTTTTCCTGCTTTGCTTCGGCCTCCTGGCTTTGAGGATGGTGTAGTTGGCATAGGAGGTGTACTGCTCAGAGAGCACGGGGACGTAGAACGCACGCAGCAGCCTCGAGGACCTGAAACCAGAAAGGGAAACCAAATCATTCCTACCTGTCCCATCTGCTCCCTGGTTCGTGCCACCATCACAAGGAGCTGAAGAGCAGTAGCCTGACCACTTCTTCAGCATGCCCACTATCCATCCCAGCAGGGGACAGAGGGCAGGGAGGTAATTATCAAAAGGAACTTAGATGCCAGAGAACAACAAAATATGGAGCTTGTGCAGAACATCCTCTCTGCTCCACCTCATGCCATCCCACAGAGTTCCAAGCATGGGAGTGACCACCACTCCCTTCCCCTAGCTGTGACACTGCATATTTAAAACTGGAGGTGGACGAAGTCCAGCACTGCTCTGCAGCACATGGGACCAGTGGAACACCCCAGAAAGCTGCCAGAGAGCCCTGTGGGCCCTTGGGATCACACAGACAGGCAGGACCCATTCTTCAGGACACTCTGTGAAGGTGACAGCAAGGCTGCATTTACCTCCTGGCATCTCCTCTCTTCTGTCCCATCTTTTGGCTGTTCCTCCACACGTGCCTGAGCAGCAGAGACAAGCTCAGATGGACACTGGCACACTGGAGCTTTGCTCTTGTGTTGATCTTCTGCTGAAGGTATTGAATTAAAGAGGGACAGGGTGCTCCAAAGCTGCCAGGGCAGAGTGCTGCAGGCTGCCAGCACTCCCTCCATGCCCTGCTAGGGCTGGAGCTGGCAGCTCCCAGCACTTCCAACAACTGAGCCACTGGAGCACTCAAGCATGGAGGGTTTAATGGCTGCATGAAATTAGTGCCTTTTGTTGGTTGCTAATTGCTGGAGCTGTGCTAGCTGAGTGCACTTTGAATGTGTGTATTCTCTCACTGAGCAATCTATTAGTAAAATCCAGGTTGAAATGTGAAGTGGGCAAATATAAAGTCCTTCAGCAGCAGCATTGAACCTTCAGAAGCTTCAAAAATTACTGAAATCAGGGCTGGGGCAGAGTTTTGCTTCCTCAGCAGTGAAACTTCTGTCTTTATGTGTTCAAAATCAACTTTTGGAACACTACCAACCTTTGACAGCCCCAAGTCTAACTCCATGCACATAAAGCTGCAGCAGCAGCAGCTCCCAGACTTGATTTGCAGCCTGCTGAGTGGCCAGGGATGGCAGACAGACCTTGTGCTTGTTGGTCACTGCCACACACAGCTCTGCTGGCAGCACAGCCAAGGCTCTGCACATCCAGTTCAAGTCACTTTTCCAGGAGTAAGATGCATTGTGCTTTGTTTGCTCATTGTAAGGCACAGCACTGGACACCTGTCAAAAATGCAGGGTGGGAACAATGGCAGGAACTGCCCCTTGAGCTGCATCTCCCTGGAGGCTCTCAGGGTTCTCACTGTGATGCAGCTGAGAACAAGCAGCTCCTCAGCTCCTGCACCTTGGAGTCTAAGCCCATCCAGGAACAGCCTGGTGCTATCCACTTGCACTGGCACAGCAGCAGGTCCTGCTCCACATAAGCACCAAGCAAAGCATTTCCCAGTTGAAATGTTTCCTCTTTAGACAAAGTGCTATTCCTCCCACACTGGAGAGGGAAAACTGAGGCAGAAAGTATTGTCTACCCTCAGAGAGGCTGAATTCCTAAAATTTGCAGTTCCTCCTCCTGACTGTGAGACTTTGCCTTCTCTCATCATCCAGCAGCACCTTGTCAGACTGCTTTCTGCCAAGCCTCAGCCTGTGCTGCAGGGTATAAAAGTGCTTCACTTGCAGGAACAAAAATCTCAGTGATAATCCTTAGCCCCTTTACAAGCACCCAGCAAAGTTCCCCAATAAAAGAATCCCTGGAAAAGGTTGCTCTTTGTGAATTCCTGAGGTGCTGGAACAGGGATCGTGTTCAAAGCAGAATCTCTCAGCAGCAAATAACTAGGCAGGAGATGGTAATTTTGGTGCATTCTGCACAAGGAACACTTTTTGCAGCTGTCATTTCCCTGTGCCTGGAAGCTGGAGGTCAGCCCTCCCTGCAGTCACTGTGAGCAAAGCCATCCCTTTGAAAACAAGGGCTTGATTTTCCTTCTCCAGCTCTTGTGGCTAATGGACATCATGTCATTGCTGAGCTTGTTCTGGCACCTCCTGCTCTGAGCCTGTCACCCCACCACTGCTCCCAGGGAATGGGATGGTTCACTTCAATTCCCATCAGCAAAAGACAAGGAAAAGGGAAAAAGAATGACATTCTTTGTCCAGCAGCAACTTTCTCACTGGAAACAGACTCAGAGTGGCCACGGGCACAAACCTCTCTCTGCTCCTGGAGCTACACAGCAGCCAAGCCCTGGATGGTGCTTTCCTCAGCAGCTCTGGTTCCCTCACTGCTGATGCACCTACAGCTCAGGAAGTCATGACAGAGCTCTCAATTCAGACAGGGAACCTTTACCTCCTGTCACCTCTCTTTGTCAGGCTCAGCAACCTCAGACAGCAGATGGCACAGGGAAGGGTTGGGATGACAGATGACAGGGAATATATATAATGTTCTATTTGCATTTGCTTCTAAATTTGTCCCCCAGAGACTGTGAGTGTGTGGAGCCTTAATCAGCACAGAGCTGCCAAGCAGCACCTTGGGAGCAAGGCCACAATCATTCCAAGCTGGGCAGCCAAAGAGCTGCTTTTCCAGGTTTGGGGATTCTAAAGGAGTGACTGCTGCAGCACTCAGAGCAGCTCCCAGTCAGGACAGAGGTGTGCTGATACCAGTGAGCCCAGCAGAGCTGTTTGGTGCTGTTTCTGCTGATTCCTTCAGGAACAGCAGCTCAACCAGTGCCAGAGGCTGTGCTGGGATGGAAGCAAACACTGAGTGAGGATGTTCCAGTCTTCCCTCCCAAGTTCATAGACTGACATGGAATGGCAGCAGTTACACACCTGTAGTGGTGGGAATTCTTCCCACCTGAACTTCCCACCCCTGGGACAGCAGGATTCAGAGAGAAGCAGGAGAGGGAAGAAGAGAAGGGAATGGCAGGAAGAAGAGGCAAGAGGAAGTTGAATCTCTGCCATGTGGGCAGGACCTGGTGCCTTCCAGCTATGGGCACACACAGGAAGCTCGTGATCAAAGCTCTCTCAAAGCCCATTAACATTTGCACTTCCTCTAGGTATTAAATTCTGTATAAACCAACTAAGGAGTAATTTAGCTCCCTGTAAAACAAAAGTAGGGAAATATTAAATTCTGTATAAACCAACTAAGGAGTAATTTAACTGCCTGTAAAACAAAAGTAGGGAACACAGCTCGTGTGACAGAGGAAAGCACCACTGCAGGCAGTGAGGCAGTTTCTTATCAAATCAGGGGAATGATATGCTGCAACAAGGTGACTGAATCGTTAATTTTGCACTAAGAATGTGTTTTCTGATGGAAAATCCAGTGTTTGGAGCAAGCAGACAGCTCAGCCTAAAGAGCTGGAAATATGTGCTCCTCAGTGGGGAGCTGTAATATATTTCCCCTCGCCTGTGCCAGATTCAGAGTGCTCAGCCAATATAGAATTAAATGGACCTTGGCAAAGCAGCTTCCTGAGGAGCATAATTAGCTGGTGGCTGGGAGTGCTCTCTAATTCAATTAGCAGCACCATTTATCAGAGCCAGCTGAGATTTACATTTGCACTTGCTGACGTCAACGTGAGACTCGCGGTGAGTCCCAGAAGCCTCTGGTTGAGCAGGAGTGAACTCAGCTGCTGGGGTCAGGCAGCTCCAGAGAACAAGAGCTGCAGGTTGGCATTGACTGGGGAGGGGATTGATGGGGTTTTATTCCCCCCAAAAAATAAATTCTCCTCGTTCTGCACTCACTGAGCTGCAAACCTGAAACTGCACTGACAGCTTCCCTCACTCAGCTCAGGGTGACCTTCTGTTCCTCCTTACCTTTTGTATGGAACAAGCTGCATTTTCACAGTGGTTTTGCACTTTCTACATAGGTAGCAAGGGACATTGCCAAACCTTTGTGTGGAGCAGGTGGCAGATCTGAGAGCTGTGTCACTGAGCTGAGGAGGAGGGAAGGGACCTGCTCAGCAAGGTGAGCAGCCCTGGGCATTATTCTATAGATATACTCCAGATATATATGACTGCACCCTCAGACCTGTGTGCCTGACCCTGGGCATAACTCTCCCCAGAGACCTGGTAGCTCTGGGATCCTCTTAGCTTACCAATCTCTAACTCCTAACATGCTGTTCTGACTGTGTTGCTGCTCTCCTGCAGCTGAACTGCCCAGAATGATCCATTCCTCAGCTCTCAGAGAGACAGCAGTGCCTTTGTTGTCTCAAATCAAAATGCAACAAAAACCACACAAGTCTTTTGCTGCATTTCCATACCTTCTCAGTTACCAGGTTTGCAAACACCTTTCTGGACTATGGAAGTACTTGTTGCTCCCCTGAAACAGTGTTGAGGCATCACTGATGCCCTCAGAGAAGCTTCTGGCTGGCAGGAGTGGCAAACACTGCTGGTGCAGCCACAGACACACACCACAGTGTTTGCTTTGCACATGAGGTTTCCCAACCTCTCCCAAAGGCCAAGAGCTGCTGCCTGGGTTTGCAGGCTGAGGCAGAGCTTGGCTCCTCACCCAGCCACCAGGCAGCTCTGACTGCCACTGCCTCCCTCAGCTGTCAGCTGCAAAACTTGTGTCATTTCCCCTCCTGAGAACTGCTTGAGCCCCAATATTTTATGCAAGTTCCAACTCAAGCACACTCAGGGAAAGAAACCAAAGCAAACAGCACTGTCTTATTTTAGCACTGCTCTGACGCACTGAGCAAGGAGCTCAACACCCAGTCAGGAACATTTGCCATGGGAAACCTTTATATGGATGTGGCAGCAAAACTCCAGCACTCCCATGCAAAACAATGCAAAGGTATTTACCTGCCAGTGCTATTATGCAGCTGAAGCTCATCACTCTTTCATTCACTGCCAACAAGCTCCGGCAGATAAGTGAGGAGCTAACCAACCTTTGGTCCAAATGGGAAACTGCAACACAGGGAGGGTTTGAGAGACCCGGACAGAGTCATGGGAGCAGCAAATTCCAGCTGAGCCCCTTAATCTCTCATCCAACTCTTCACTGCACCATGAGTTGTCCTGGGAAGCTGTGCCCACTGCTGGGCAGGCCATGGCTCCTTGCTCACTGCTCCTCTTCAAGGGTGACAAGATGTGGAGACACTGCTGTTTCTCTCAGAGTCAGTGATATCCCCAGACAAGCCCAGGCCCCTCCAGTCCTTCCCTAGCACAGTGCCCTGGAGCTGTCCCACCTCGACCGCAGAAGGGCTGAAGGGCCAGAGCTCAGCACTCCCAACTGTGGGAGCTCTGGAGGTAGGAACAGCAGGGATGGAAATCAGACCTGCTGCTATGGCAACCTGGCCTCCTCCACTGCTGAAGGCACCACACCTCCCCTCTGCTCCAGCTGGGAGGCCTTGATAAGGAACAGCATGGAGAATTTCCAGCCCAGGAACGGCTGACGGGCGACACGGGCAGGGCTGAGGGTCTGACTGCCTCACCTCCTCCTGGGACATGCTCTGCAAACCTTCTTCTGCTCCAGCCTCCCACCAATGCAGCAGCATCTTTTAAGGAGGGTACAGCAGGCAGAAAGGTCCCCATTCCACCCCATCACCTTTAGATGATCTGTGATTGCTTATCATAGATTCAGAGAATGTTCAGGGGTTGGGATGGAGCTGAGAGATGATCCAGCCCCAACCCCCTGCCCTGGGCAGGGACACCTCCCACCAGAGCAGGTTGCTCAAGGCACATCCAACCTGGCTGTGAACACTGCCAGGGTTGGGGCAGCCACAGCCTCCCTGGGCAACCTGTGCCAGTGTCTCCCCACCCTCAAAATATCCAGGGAGTTATGTTCCCCCTTCCCACCCCAAGTTCTGCCTTTACACCTCATCATTCCCTGGGTCACTGCTCTGAATTTGAGGCTCTCTGTGACTCCCAACTTCCCACAACACGCTGCTGCTCCACAGTGAGCTGATGCCTTTGCTCCAACAAGTCAAGGCACTGCTTCCAGCAGTAACAGCCACATGCACTCTCCCTTCACAAGCCAGACTTGAAGGACCACACACCACACTGAGTGGGCTACTGGAGCTTGGCTGCAGGCTTGCAGAGAGCCTTAGCCAACAGGGAACACTCAGCTTGGGAGTCTAGCTGGAGTTTGGATGATCTAAATGCAACACACAGTATTACAGATCAAATCAAAGTGATTGCACAGGTTTTCACTGCCAAGGTTGGGAGGAAGTTTCCAGCCCCAGTCTGGCAGGAAGGACCTGGACAGCATTACCCCCAGAAGCTCAGAGCTGCAGCATCACATCTACCTATATGTGTAGCCAAATTCCTGAGAGCCAGACAGGCAGTGATGCTTGGCAGGACACAGCTGTAAATGGGGAAATTCCTTAATCCTATCCGTTTCCCCCACTGAGAAGGAAGGAGGGAAAAAGAAGAGAGAAAAATATCAGTGAGTACATGGAAACAGCACTAAAGCAGTGAAGAGAGTGACAAGGACTCCAAGTCTCTAAGGAGATCTGAAATAGGTTGAAAAGAGAAATAAGTGGTTTGTGGTGTCTCTCATGAGCTTTAATCAATGGTTCAGAGGCTGTAGGTGAGGGCTGGAAGGGCAATGATCTGCTCCATGAGACAAACCAACTCCCTCTGTACCAAACATCAGCCAAGCACAGGAAACATGAGCAGGAGTGGAAAGAAACCACAGAGAACTCAGGACATTCTGGAGAAGTCAGAAATAGAATAACTCCAGAGTAAGTCACTTGGCTTTCATCAGGCAGGTGAGCACCCCCAGCAAACTGCACCCCATGGCTAACCCAAGGGTCTGGCAGGCTCCCCTGGACCTGCCTCAGTGTCTTTGACTGACTTCAAGGGACTTTAGATGAGGCTGAACCAACCAAAGCTTGGCTCTTGAGCAGGGAGCAAGATAAACCAGCTTTAAAACACATCATCTTCAAAGCAGAAAGGCACATCCAAGGGCATATACTCTGCACAGAGTCCTTTGCAAAGCTCTCCTGCAGATGTTTCTATTGCCTCACTAATAAGACTCACTGGCCACCTCTTTCTCCCTTCCTAAAGTCCTGCCCGAAAGGAACAGCAGGTCTTTGGAAAACAGAGTTCAGGAAAGACCTTGCCAAGAAAACTTGTTTGTGTCAGCAGGCTGGGAACATTGGGGCTCTCCTGGGAGCTGCTCTGTCATTATCACTCCTTCTCACTGTTCAACTGCTTTTCCCAGCCCCACTCCCTGGAGGGTCCTGCTACTAGGAAGTAATAAGGTCTCACGTGGAAAACAGGAGGGCACTGAACTCTGTTAGTTTTTGACAGAGATTTTTCCACTCAGCCTCTCTGTCCTGGTATGACAACTACAAGACCAGAGCTTTAAATGACCAAATAACCATCCCCTCAGAGCTGAGGGTTTCTGCATTTGCAGAGGTTTGACAGCCCTGATTCCACCCCATTTAGCCTGGAGGAGAGCAAGCTCAGCCTCTGTTTCTCACAGAAATTCCTGTGCACATAGACAAGCAGGTTCAGTGAGCAGCAGAGCTAATGAAGAATGGATTCTAGCAGAGATCTCTTCCATGGATTCTCTGTTGCCTAATAAAGGTCTGACCTCGCTGCCTGCCTCCTCTCTCTGCCTGCCAGCTCTCATAAAACTTGTAAGAGCTCATGCTCTTTGAGACTGGCTGAAACCTGTCTTGAATTTGGCTGAGACAAGACAGCAGACTCAGAAGTCTGTTGGGAGGAGATGACATGCACCTCAGTTCTTTGGAAAGGGAACCAACAAACACTGCTTCAGCAAGAAGGGAGGATTCTTTTCAAACATAATTCTTCTCACCACCCTCTCGGCTAACTTCACCCTCTGAGGAAACCTGGGTCATAAATACTGCAAGCACAAGTTTGACAAAGGTGTCACTGTGGCCAGCAAACTGCCTTTACTGGAAACTGAACTTCAAGCTGGCATTTTTCATCTCTCCTCCCTGTACACAGCTCTCACAGACCTGACACCCCCAGCCCTCCCTCTCCCCTGGGTACAGCATACCTGGAAGCATCTAGGAATGGCTTGTAGGCAATGGTCACCCACTCTTCTTTGTTGGATGAGTACCTTGGCTCCCTCGGGGTCTCAGTGGCTGTATCCAAGTCCACCAGATAGTGGCACTTGGAAATGTCAATCTGCAGAAAGACAGACATCCTTGTGTTCTGTTTCCTGTGAGTTTCTCATTCAGACAGGCTGGTACTTAGTGATCAGAGGGCTAAAGTGCAGCTGAAATGATTCATGCAGGATATGTAGTACAACGTTTTGAATGTTTTCAAGCCAAACCTTTATGGGGGACCATGAACTTCCACTACTGCTTTGGTCACTGGAGGAACATCCTTGGGTCCCTCCAGGAGGCAGTGCCACTTGCAGCTCTCATGCTGAGGAACTGTCTCACAGAGAGGAATATGAAGTGGCAGAACCAATTCTGTTGATGCTTTGCCTGGTGGGCAATGTGCTCAGGAGACTCACCTTATGCCCCTTCTCCCAGCTGCAGGAGACTCACCTTATGCCCCTTCTCCTCCCAGCTCGGAATGCAGCATGGCTATGTCTTACTCTCTCAAACCTTTCCTTGATGGATGCCACACTTCACTTTACTCTCCCACAAAATTCTATTGCCAACTTCCTTGGCCATGCTTGACATCCCTTTCCTGAAGCTCCCTCGGGGTTTAATGGAACGATTTAGGCTGCAAACAATTTAATTAGGTGGGTACCAGATGGCTCTGTGGCATCACAACTGAGTGGCAAATGAAATTACACCATGGGAAACTCAGCTGAGGAGAATGTTCAATCCACTTCTTGCACTGTATGAGAAGAACATTCCAGGCCCTGAGAGAGGTTCTGGCTCATTAGCACAAAGACTCCCAAACCACTAACCAAGTTTTTCGCTAAGTGATGTCAAAGTGCTCAGAGAAAGACAAGTTACTGCCTCAAGCACTAGGCCTGATCTCTCTAAACATTCCCCTAAAAGGGTTGACACTTCAGGTGCCAGGTGAACACAGACCATTCCAAGCACAGCACAGTGCATCCCTGCAAGTTACAGGGAAGTCAAGGATAATATCCATCCTGGTCATTTATTTGGGGGTTCACCCAAGACCTGGGTGATGTACAGACCTTGAAATGTTTCTCTGCAGAAGGAAGTCAGTCCTAGTGAGCAAAGCTGCAAGGGATTTCTAAATTACATCCTATGCTCTTCTGTTCTCCTTTCCTTTTCCTCCTCCCACTCTTGCTTTATTTGATGCAACTTCTGTGCTGAGTGCTGGAGAGCTAAATTTGGTCACATCCTGACTAACAGGAGTGGGCACAGCATGGTACAGAGCTGGAGTGAAGGGCACAGCATGCTGAGCTGCTGCTGCAGCCACGTGTCTCTCACTGGGGTCTGGAGGGATGGCACCAGTGAGAAGAAAGTGGTGAAAAAAACACTTCCTCTGAAGCTGTTAACAGTTTCAGTTTTCAGGCCTAATCTACTGTTCCTGCTTGGATATATCTTTTAAGAAATAATCTTCCTTATCTCTTCCTTAGCCATTTCGGAGCCAAATGCATCTCCCCAGCAGGACAAGCACAAGAGCTGTTCAATGTGATTAAGGAAGGGAGAGTTGCAAAAGCAGAAGATGAAATGAGCCTTTTCCCCAGTGTCTCATAGCAACAGAAACACTGAGATCTCCTCTTCCATTTCCAAGCAGAGCAGTGATAGATATTTACACCTCAACCAGAGAGATCAGTCCCATTTCTGGAGCCATTCATTGGGTTTGAGCTCCATGGCTCAGATCATCCTCTTGAACCACTTGTTTTGCCCCTTTTAAATGACTCATGATACTGAGTCCCTATCACAGTTCTTTCAGGGCTTGCTAACTTTTCTTCTATTCTCAATCTGGGTATGTTTGCCCTTGGAAGCTCAATAAACCTGAGAAAAGATCTTCATCTCTTGGTGCTATTAGCAGGACAGAAGTAAGAGCTTTAACCCCCCATTTCAAATTCACATTTAGCAGCTGATTCCTCCCATCCTGAGCCCTTTATGTGAGCAAGAGCCAAGTTGTAGGGTGCACGAAGCACAGAACAGGAGCGTGTTGTGCTCCGTTAGTCAGAGGCTGTGCAGCAGCTGTCTGTGCTAAAAATACACCCCAGCTAAAGACTTCACAAATGAAATGCAGTGCAGCAGACAGCTCCTCTCAGGTGGGAACATGCCTCCTGCCCACTGCCACTCGCTGCAGAGGGAGCTCCAAGGGAGAGCTTCAACCCACAGCACTGCCAAGAGTTAACTGCTCATGAGCTGAGAGGAGCTGGCTGATAATTTTAAAGGATTCATTAGTTTTGTTTAGGGAACATAACACAACCAGGACGATAATATAATTTTAAAGGATTCATTAGTTTTGTTTAGGGAACATAACACAACCAGGAGAAGTATAAATCCAGTGTGTGTATATAGTAGATAGATAGATAGATACACACACATTGCACAATCTACAGTGATGTTATACTTTGCATCCCATTACATAGAGGCAACATATATTACATATTATGTACATAATATACAACTTATTATAGAGAATATATGTAAGATTAAATATAAATATCATCCCAGTGTACATGAACAGATTCCCACTGAAACCACTGATGCAATTCTTTCAGTTAGCTTCCACCTTAAGTTCCTCCTTAGCTGCAAATATGCTGAATGCATTTATATTCCAAAAGAAATGGAAGCACAGAGGGAAAAATTCAATCCCTGCTCAGTGACAAATATTTTCTGGGGGGAACTTTGAGCTACTCATTCAGTTCACTTTCCTGTGGTCACAGCAACACACTGCACCAAACCCCAAACTGCAGTGACTAGGAATTATTACTTCTGCTTCGTTTATGGTGCTGATGATTTTATGGCAGATGAAATGCAAACAGAAAACACTCCCATAAATGGGGGAAATTCCAAGTGCTGCAGAGAGACCATTTTTGTTCTGTAACTTGTATTATAGTTAGAACATAGATATATTTCATTATTAT